CCCTCAGGCTCACTGGGCACGTGGGGCAGAGGGGTTTGTGCTTTGGAAGCAGGGCTTATCAAATGACGGCCGTGGTGCTCACGTCACTAGGAGTAGCTTGGGCAGCCGCCCTGGTAGAATGTACCCTCCTCAAGGAAGTGAACATGGACGAGAGAGGTCTCCCTTTTGACTTTTATGTGGGTAAGATGGAAGAACGTAACCTTACCTGAACTGGGAGAGTCTGTATGTGAGAACTAAGCATCATAATTCTGACATCCTATATCGATGTGTTAACAAAATGAAAATGAAAATAATGACTTCTTCAAAATAGTAACATCATATCTGCTAACCTCACCTAAATCAGGCTAGTCCGAATGTAGGAAATGAGTATAATGTATATCTGACAGCGTATTTCAGAAGTGGTCGTTACATGAATATTAAATAAATAGTACCTTTTCCCGAATAGGAACATTAGCATAACTACCAAGTGCAAGTTGCTATGGCTACTCGAGCGGCAAACATTTGCTTACTCCTCCTGTAACTGGCACAGTTACTACGTAGGCCTACACCTGTCCACATAATTCTAGGTACAAACCGAGTTTGAAGATGCAGGGTGACTATACCTAGGGCAGGCATGCAACACGTCTTGAGTAGAGCGAAGTAAAATCAACACATCATTTACAAAACCCACCTAGGGAGACGGTGGGTCCTGGAAGTGCCGTTATCGAATGGAACAGGCAACGTTTCTGCTTTCTCACAGACTTGCACGGAGAACATGTAGGAAGGGGAAATGGTGGGCAGGAGGGAAACAGGGAACTTCCCAGTGCAGGGCCCGTGTGGCAACTGAGAGAGGAAAGGGGAAAAATAAATGATGGATCTTTTTAGAGGCTTAGTAAATGGTAAAGTGCTGTATAAATATTAGAGACCCAAGCGGCCATCGTGCATATCTCTATGTTGAGCAATGCTGCCTGCAGTTGAAAATGAACGATTATACATTTTATTAAACTGATTAACATACATCTTACCGAAAGCAGGACAGACAGAGGCGTCTCGTTTAAGAAATATAAACACATGAAAGGCTTAAAAAGGCAGATGTAGCTTGTTGTCAGCACCGCAGCTGAATTCTTAAATGGAAAGTGTTCTTTTGTAATTTCAGATTAGGCTATGGCAGTTGATTGCTATGGGCTTTTCAAATTTTTTTCTTTTTGTAGTTGTATTTCTTTCAGAGACAGAAGGAAGGTCAATCTCACTTTGTAAAAGACAAAGAAAGGTGACTCTTGTCAGTGTAACAGAACGTAGCGGGTCCCCAGGTGTAATGTGAAGGAGAAGGAGACAAGGTCCCGCATAATGTCACAGCTGAAAGGAAGCCGACGCCAACGAGCTTCTCAGAAGAACAATGACTCATTATGCCGGGGCTCCACAACAGATGCGAGTGCCCAACAACTGGCTTCCGTCCAAGAACAGGGAAGAAATAAAGAAGGCAGAGCCAGGAGGCGGCTGCCAGAGATGGGCCTGACGGGGAGCCTTTCTAGTGGGCGGAGAGCAATCAGAAAAGTGCTTTGGAATCACAAAATTAAAAAACAAGTGTCAGCTGTGGGAGACGTAGAAATGCAAATAAGTACGGATGCAAATAGGACGAATAAATGAAAGTGTGCAATCACCCAGAGCTATGTTTACAACCCCAAGGCAGCTCCGTCTGTAATTATCTGGATGCCATTAACTGCGTGGGAGCAGCCATCAAGGGGCACGTAACAGACACCACCTGAAGTTAAACGTCTTCCCTTCCCAACGATAAAGCAAGATCTCCGAGGGCACTGATTCTACCTCGAACTAAACTGGTTTGTGTGCAAGACCACAAGAGGACCTCTGGTGAAATATAAAAGCTGCGTTTTCATTATTTACCGCACATCTGAACATAATTCTCACCATTAACTAACTAAAACACAGATGATAGGAGATCTGGCTTCCGTAGACAAGTCCTGACACCCACCGCATTACTTAGTTTAGTTCTCACAGTCATCTCCTGAGGCCGGTGTCATGAGCTGTGATGGACTTGGTCTAGGTCACCCCGCCTAAAGGTAATGGAGCCAGATGTATCAGCATTTTGGCCCTGGGTTGTCACTCTTCCCATTAAATCGCAAGTTCCCAACCCAAGGCAACCTTGTCCCCCAAGGGGACTCTTGACCCGGTGTGGGGACATTTTTTGGTTCACAATTAGGGGGTGCTACTGGCAACTAGTGTGGAGTGGCCAGGGATGCTGCTAAACATCGTACAATGCACAGGACAGCCCCACAATGGAGCATTATCTGGCCCCAAATGTCCACAATGCCTGACACCGAGGCTGAGGGGCCTGGTGTTACACGGAACCTGCCACTGTGTAAGCTACGTCTCAAGTCCAATAGGAGCGTTCAGGGAAGAGGCAGCTGCACGCACGGGGAGAGGGGCCTCACCAAGGGCTGGGGAGTTGCCGGGGAAGAAAAAGAAAGTCCCATTTCCGCCTCACAGATGGGGAGGCAGACAAGAGCTGAGGCGCCACACATTCATAACAGATCTGTCAGAAATGCGTCCTGAGATTGCTTTGATCTAAATTGCCCTTTCCAAACCCAAGAGGCATTTCCAATGTCACCTGAAGCTCTTGATGGCTCCCTAACATGGTTCTGCACGGACGTGAGAGAGCAGAACGGCCCTGGGTTTCCCGTGGCCTCTTTATTTGTCTCCCAGAACGTTCAAGGCTGGCATCTCACAGAATACAAATCAGAGGCTAATGTGATAAGAGGCTGAACTGATGGTGTCTCTAGAAAATTTAAGACTGAAATGTCAGTTGAAAGACAAAAAGAAAGATGGGATCGCTTTGGAAAAATCTCATTGGCAAAGATGTAGACGGTTTTCCTAACAAAAATGTTCTAAACTAAAAGCATCTCAGAGGGATTTTTGAATTTAAACCAGCTAAACAGCATCAGGGGTTTTGGGGGGCAGGGGAGGGGGTTAGTCGGGCAAAGTCAGAAAGGGCCTGTCTGCGGCACAAAGCTGAGGGAACGGCGCACAGAAAACTGGGGAAGGGGCTCCCGGGAGGAGCTGGCTGGAGCCACGCAAAGGGGCACGGGGTCAGCGCGGCTCCCGAGAGCGTCACTGCACTGAGCCATCCTTGAGCTGATTTAGAAGAAAGGGAGCACAGGTCCATCCCAGCTCTACGCTTCAGTTGGACGCCCCATATCGTAGTTCACATTTGACTAATGTCATTGATTCGTGAGGCCCAGAAAGACTCTGGGGTCCTGAGCGCGCCAGCTCTTTCCCGCAGTTACATGGGCTGCTGGTGCCGGTTCTGCTGCTGCAGAACCTCTGGGGCTTCGGGGCTCAGGACCGGCTGAGGCCACAGCACTGACTGCCTGGGTCTGAGCAGCCCGCAGCCCCACCGGCTGCCTCGCTTCCCCCTCGCGGCCCGCTCATCCCGACCCTGGGAAGCAGTGATCTCCCAGGGAAGTGGCTGAGAGGCGTCTCTGCCTGGGCCAGGCGGCCAGGTGGCCAGGCAGACAGCCCCAGCGGACCCTCAAACGGGAAGCCCCAGTCGATGTGTTTCTCATTTCAATGCAGCACCTATGGAGGCAATGTCAGACTAATCACGAATCGCTAAGCAGCTTTATTTTCATCCCTGCTTTAATAAACATACATGTGCCAAGCTAGCTCTGAATTATGTAGAATTACAGCAGTCAGAAGAGAGACCTTCCAACGTCTGTCAGAGGATTTTTAATCATCTTTAAGTAAACTTCAGTTTCTCTGAAATTGAAGGGGAATTATTTCTCCACTTCAAAATCCAGGACAGATTCATTGAAGGGGCTTTCCATCTGCTAACACGAGTAAAAACAGGAAATGATGAGTGCAAAAAATATACCGTGAAATGAGTTTAAAGTCCTTATGCTTGAAGCCTAGATTGAAGACACGATTACTTATTGTCCCTAGATAGGTTTATGCTAGCGATAATAACAAATAGCTTTTATTCAAAACCATTCATCAGTATGATATAAAAAGTCCTAGGCTTAATCTTTTTGGAAATCCATACACTCACTTCTATCCTAGCCGACGAGACTAGAATGCCAAGCTCCAGGGTGCACGCTTGTCGGGGCGGGAGAATGGTGACCCCCAGGGAAGGGAGCCCTGGGGCGACCGCCGGCTCCTGAGGGGTCTGCCTGCAGCAGGGGTGACTTTTGCTGGCTTGGACCAGGCTGGTAGAGTCCCAGCTGAGAGTGGCCTGTGATTTAGCTGTTCGCTCAGCAGTCCTACTTACATACCAACACCCATTTATGCTTTTTTGATGAAGCTGCTGTCGCTACATAGAGATCAACGCTTACAGAGAGGACGCCCTTTGTGGAGATAATAACTCAACTTCGTTTATACACTTCTCTGTCATCACTTTAACATAAACTATCTCTGCTTTGACGGCGAAGCAGCCCTGCTATGAGTTTTTATTCTATTTTAGAGATGAGGAAACGGGGGCTCAGAGAGCCTAGCCGACCTGCTCAAGGTCAAGAAACTGAGTGAGGGCTAGAAGCAGAGAGCCCAGGTGAGCAGGCACTGTGGTCTCTGCTATGCCAATGTGCCTTACCACACGCGAGGGGGCAGGGACCTGGATGGGCACCGACTGAGAGCTGCAGGGTCTGATGCTGCCGAGAACTGGGCAGGGGGAGAGGCCTCTGACAGCTAACCAGTAAGTGCCCCCTTGAAGACAAAGCTCCTTATCTCACTAGACTTCGTCGTGTCCTAATGAAGGAGATCTGACCATAGGTTCACAGATCTATTACTCTATTACTGATAACAGATTCTTACTCATAAACAGCCCAGACAGTGATGTGCAAATGCTGTTCTTTATGTGAACAACCGATTTTAAAAAAATGTTCATAACCAAAAAAAATAAAATAAAAAAAATCCTCCGCAATCTACACAATAATGTTCGGCCATTATTACCTTTGGTAAAAATAAATGTGCGCCCGCTACTGAAATGCCTCCCACCTACGTTGATCCCCCAGGAGGCAGACTCGGGGTTAATGGACAGACCGGAGCAAGCTGACCACCTGCTTTCCTAGACGCCGCTCCCGGCGGGCTTCGCCGATGGTAATGAACGCACTGTCCAGCTGCAGCCATTGAGGGTCCTGTGACTTGACACGGTGAGTGAGGGTCGAGATGCTGGTATGAGTACTCCATTACTATTTGATCTGCATGGAACTCAATTCAATGTTAACTAACTACGAGAGGCACTGTGTGAGACTTCGGGCAAACGACCACGAAACCTGTGGGTGGCTGGGTGGGGGTCGGTGAGCAGTGGGCTCACGGAGATTGGGAACTGGCCAGGCCAGGTCCCAGGAGGTGGGGGCCCCAGCCCCAGACACCGCTCCTCATTGAGCTTTCTCAGGAATCTCCTGCCTGGAAGAGGCTCTCAATATCCACCGACTTGTCCCCCCCATTTAAGAGATGATAAGATTCTCCCCCACAAAGACACATTCCCTGATTAACAGAAACATGACCTACAGAACATGTTTGGCCAAAGCAACCACCCCACCTTCCTCCAGGATGCACATGTCTGTGTGTAAACCCCAAGTCCATTGGGTCTGGGGGACCTGTCAACAGCATTCCCACTACCAGGCGTTATTTTTCCATTTAGCCTGAAAACCAGTGGCTTGCTGAGCACCCGCCATGCTCTGAAAAGTCCCGCAGTGCTCTGGCTACGGGCACATCTGCAGTGGGCCTTCAATCAGCAGATATGAATTGATGTGGTGAGGCTGTGCTCTGAAAAGCCCGACTCCTCCTGGGAGGCTAATTCACCGTGCTCAGCCTGTCTGCGGGTGCGAGCTTTGGACACGGGCTCCTGTGTGGGGGTGGAGACCTCTGCTCCGGTGATGGATGAAATGACACTCTTGACAGGCTGGATGGGCAGAATCTTTACATGTAATTTAGTTTGCATTTCAATTACTTTGGGAAAAGGCTTTCTGACGTTTGGCCAGAGGTATGTGTAAGGTATCAGTTTAATGGGTTTAGTCCTGTTTTGCTAAGGGAAGGAATAATAGTTCTTTATTTAAAAAAAAAAAAAACCTAAAAAGCAAAACTCTCGGGTTTGCATTTTCATTCATTCGTGGCATGGTCTTTTCTAGGGTATTTGGCGCATTGTCTGTTTTTATTTCTAGGGAGCCCCATGCCTACACTTGGCCCAAGGGTGCTGGGCTGGGCTTCGAGCCCAGTCTCAGGCAGGGATGGTACTTAAGTTCACCTAACGTCCACGATCCCTGGAATCAGAGTGGCCCACACATGTCCACCTGCACCAGTCCCACCCTGACCAGTCAAGGAAGAAGAAGGCGCAAGCCAGACTTTATGGACCATTTGGAGGCTGTCTGACCCGGGAAGAAGAGGACAACGGAACACAGTGGCACAACAGACAGACGTGAAAAGAGGGGCACTTGGGCCTGGAGTGATGTCACTAGGGCTCAGCCACGTGCCAGCTGCCAGTTCAAGTGGGGCTGATACTGGCTTTCTGGTCTTAGGGCCACCTCCCCCACAAGTGCACGCCTCTGAGCGGAAACAAGGGCAGGTTGCCTTTCCTCCAAGTTCAAAGGCTCCTGTACCCATTTCCTAGACTTTGCAACACCTTTGAGTCCGAGGCCTACAACCCCTGCGGCCGAGAGCAGAGCAGCACGGTGGGGTCACAGGCACCCAGCTCACCTGTCTGAGGCCGCATCTGCTGAGGGCAGCACCCTTGAGGCCCACTGACCAAGGCAGAGCTGCATACCTATGGCTGGAAGCCCAGGAGTCTGCGTTCAGGCACGCGTGTGGTGCCACCACTCGGTGAAAGCTCGCTGAGCCAGCTCCCCTGGCCCCTCTCTGGAGCAGCCTTGACTTGGGGGTGGGATCCTTTGCCTGGGGGAGAGTTCAGAGGTGCAGGTTTTGGGAACGGAAGTTTCCAGCCTCACTCCGCCATCACCCAGGACCCCAGAGGCAGGAGAAGCTGAGTTGGAGCAGAAGGCTGCCTGGGGCTGAGCACGAAGCACCTGGTTCTGGGGCCCTAGGGAGGTGTCGGGGTCAAGGTGAGACCTGGGGGAACTGGGTGGGGTGGGCCAAGCCCCAGCGCCCTGAGGGGCTCCGACCAGCCACGGGAGGGGAAGGTCCCAGGAGAACCAGGTCCCCGCACCCTGGAGCCTGGCGGCTGGGCCAGCTTTGACTTGAAAGGCCCTGGAAATGGATACTTCTGTTATCCTAGTGTCAGGAAGGGCTTCATAGCTATTCCTAGAGCAACTTGTTTTCCACTGTGTTCACCTGAACTATACTTTCAAATTTAAACTAAATGTTTAGAGCCCGTTTTCTCTCTGTGATTTACGAGGCCTTCCTTTCTAACAAATTAAAGCTCTCCCCAGATGAGCCAATTTTTCCTGTTCTCATTTCTAGCCACCCTCCCACACTGGGGATCGCAGCCAGGAGCGAGGGAGGCCCGTGTGGGAGGCAGCAAGTGCAGAACAGACAGCTCTTTACGTTTCCCTAAATTCCCATTTAATTCCATCTCTCCATCCATTCTCCTGCCATAGACACAGATGAGGACAATAACAAAACCCGGCTGGGCTCCTCGTGCAGCGAGAGTGCTCTCTCTGTAGCGCCCAGGCCTTCCCAGGGGAGAAGGCCAAGGTGGCCTTTTTCTTCTTAAGGCTAAATAGGATTTCTTTTCTGCCAGCACAGGGCAGGCGGCTTCTTAATGATCTCTAAGGAAAGAACTGGAGAGAAGGAAAATATCCTTTTTTAATCCCATTTTCCTTCTCACCCCACACTGAGCTGTTACTATAGCAACATCCTACCTGCTCCCAGGACAGCTAAGTGTCCCTGGGCTGCTTTGTCACTCAGAGAAGAGACTGCTGTTCATTGACTAGTTTTTCCCTGGGTGTCTAAATTCTTCAGTTCCCTATGACATGCTTAATCTAGGGTTTCCTGTGGCTGAAAGCTAAAATTCACTTCTAAACTCCCAACAGCATAATCCTCCAAGCCTTTCCAAACCGAACTCAGTAGAAATGAATTTACATTTTGTTTTCGATATGTATAGCTTCTCTTCCATGCATCAGTTTAAGTTTAGAAGAGGTCCTTGTAAGGAAAATAATTTTGAGAAAAATCTTCCACACACGTCTGCCACTGTTGGTTTTCTGCCTTTCACATGTCTTTATATATGTAATATACATTGCATACATACATAATAAAATATAAATGATAAAATATAAACAGAGGGTGCCAAAAATGTATACACATTTTAAGAAAGGAAAAAAATGTCTTAAAATTGTATTACTCAATATATACCGATAACAAAAGATGAATATGAGTCATGTGCATATATTTTTTTGGCGCCCCCGGTATAATGTAATGTTTCCAATACACAGAATAATACAGAGATGAAGGGTAATAAGCATTCGCGTACCCACTTCTCAGGCTTAGCAAATGCTGACTGGGGGGAGGGAAACATTTATATTTCAAATTTTTAAAGAAAAGGTTACAGAGCAGCATCTGTTCCGAGGTTCGTGCATATCTTTTCCATCCAAGTCTTTGTACTTTGTTACACATTTATGGGCAAGCCTTTTTTTGTCAGCAAGACTTTCTTTTTCCTCCTAATTGTGTGTGTGTGTGTGTGGGGGGGGGGAGGTATGCTAGACATCTCAGCTGGACGTCTGGGGAGCTAGAGGCCCCAGAACCATTCTGTTCCTATATCCTATGTTCATCTATTTGCCTGGCAATCCTTATAAGCCCGAGTCCAAGTTAACCTTCCCCAATGAGTGGACTTACTATTTTGAAATAAAAGCATTCAAATCAGAGAGTGATTTTGGGTCCTGTGCAACTCAGGGAGCCCAGAGTTTTCTCCCCAAGGTCGCTAAAAACGTGGTGTGTCTGAGATCTTGTCTGTTTAAAATAAAGTGATAAAGGGTCCATATGGAGAAGATGGCTGTCACCCTGGGGGTGGGGGATGGCTTACTCATGGGCGTTACGAATGAGGCCATCAGGGCTCAGGTAAGAACATTATCTTGGATAAATGGCTTCTGGCTATCGATCTGGGCCAGCCTGACAGAAAAGAAGCTCTCTGTATTATTGCCACAATTACTTGATTTATACTTGCAATTTAGAATTTGTGTGCTCATTCAATTCTGTCAATATCAAAAAGTAACACCCTCATTTCAAAATCTGACATTTGGATTCCGTCCCACGGTTTAGCGCGTCCGCGAAGCAAAATAACTGTCAATCCAGGTCATCTGCCTTCAACAATAACTTGAGACGCCAGGGAGAAGCATCAGGGAGGAAACCAACCAAAAATCAAGCAAAAAATCCCTTGAATCAGGCTTCCAGTTTACAAAAATCAAAGAAAAAGACTTTTTTCATCTATCTTTATATACTCTGTCGTTTCTCATCATGTGTCCCATGGAAAGGTCATTCTGTTGGAAAGAAGTGACTCAGAGAACACTTTGGGCTGTGACATGTGAAGTGCCTGACAGTGAATCTCTGTCTTCTCATATTCACATTCCATAGAAAAGGCCAAAATAAAACAGGCTGACCGATAAGCACACAGAGGGAAGAGACCAGCCAAGAAAAGCTGCTGGAAACTGGTGTCTAGGTCTCGAAGAAGTCAGACCCCACACGAGAGATTTATCTTCCCAGAGGCGACGGGCGAGGCCGAGGCAGGACGCACTGACCCGGCTTCCAAAACCAACAGCATTTTACAGTTTATAAAGACATTCATGCCTATTCTTTCCTCCTACGTGGACAGGTGTAGGGAATCAACCAAAGAGTCAAGGTAGGAAAACAGGCACTTGGGGAATGGACTGTTCTTGGCGGGGCCCGCTCTCCCACTTTCATATGCAAAGGTGGAAGATGATCAGCTACGGTGGAAAATGTTGCAGCATCCCACACAATTATTTTAGGTTATGCTTCCATATATTTTTGGGATTGTCTGCTTGGCTTTCTTGAGGGTGCATCATAAACAGAAATTTTAGCTGGGGCACTGACTAGAATTGTTATGGTGACTCACGTGGGAGCAATTGAGCTCTATTTATAGTTGCCATGGTGATGATCTCATAACTCGAAAGAGTTGGGCATGGAGCCTTTGACCTTAAATCCTAGTTATATGCCGGTGGTGCCAAAAATATGTATAATTTATATATATATGATTGTCAGAAAAGTCATGACGTATTTTTTCCATGTTTTTTGTTGCAAAAATGCATCATGACTTTCCCGACAACCCAATATATATATATGTG